TCTCTGCTTAGGACAATCTCCCCCAAAACGCTGGAGCTAGTTTCATGCTCTACCTTCATCTCATGGTGCTGGTCCAGCTGCTCCAGTTCCAGAGGGCTTTCCCCATTTTGCCTCTTTTGTACCTTGGCTTCTGTTTCTGCCCCTCTTTCTTCTAGGGGGAGCACTGGGCCTATGCCTGGAGTCCTGTAGCTACTGTCAGAAGCATTTCCATCACAGTCATCTGCTGTGGGTGATGCAGGAGCTGTGGCAGTTTCATCTCTTTCTCCATTCACTATGTGCGTATCAAGCAAGGGTTCAGAAGCTTGAATAGAAGTATCTGGGCTAAGAGTGGCAGCTTTCTCCTCCTCACATTCCATCTGGTTTTGTGCTGCCATTACACCATTGGCCACACAAGTCTGTGCACCCTGAGTCTTATCTGTCTCATTTCCCTGCCTCTGTGGCAACTGCGGGGAGAGGAGTTTTTGTGGAGGTGTGGTTGTCAATCCATGCCTTCCTGGGGTTCTAGAAGCATTGAGGTTCACAGCAGAATCTTTCTTCAAATCACTATAATTTGATAATGAGCTAAAAGATAAAACACAAAGGAAGCATGAAAACATTGGCATGGAAAAGTTCTAGAATTAAGACAAGTTTATTCCAGTTGAAAAGGGATATTTGCTAATTTTTTTTTCTATCTCTGATGGTTTTAGAAACATGGATTTGAATATTCTCAGTGTAGCCCCAAGTCTCTGGGGATGCTATCCACATTTAAATAAAGATTTAAATAAAGAAGATGACCCTGAGTCTACCTATGGGGACTGGAACACTTCCTTGGGCTGTTTATTTTATTTATAACTTAACTTTTCTTGATCCTTGCAGTGTTTAATAATGTGACTAGTTAGTAAAGACTTAGATATAACACTTACGCAGTGGCACAATCATGGCTCATTACAGCCTTGACCTCCTGGGCTCAAGCAATTATCCCACCTCAGCCTCCTGAGTAGCTGAGATCACGGGTGTGAACTACCATGCTCTGCTAAGTTTTAAAATTTTTGTAGATGGGGCTCTCGCCATGTTGCCCAGACTGGTCTTGAATTACTGGGCTGAGGAACTCTTCCTGCCTTGGCCCCACAAAGTACTGGGATTACAGCAATCAGCCACCATGCCTGGCTCTAAAATGATTTTTAAATGGCCTTGTAACTCAAAGACTATACCATTTATTACAAAATTGGGTATTAATTAGAAAACTTAAAAAAATTAAAAGCCTAGAGTTATAATCTGTTGAATAATTTAGAGCCATATTCATGTCCTTAAAAGTAACATTTACTAGTGGCAAGTTCATCTTACAGGTCTACTATTTATTCTATTAGAAACTTCTGAACAACAAAGATTATACAATTTCTTCTTGCTTGGTCCATAAGTATTAGGGATACAGCACCAACATCTAGAACAACAAGGAACATTTTCTTTCTATGTAAAAACAATACGTTTGTGGATTTCCTACATTAAAGTTTCCACACTGTTCTGACTCCTGAAATTATTATAAAGAGGAGGATATTACACAGAACCGACTACAACAAAAAGAAAGAAGTGAAAATATCTGCTTAGGAAGCACAGAGGCGAAAATCAGCATCATCAGCAACAGAGCTTGAAATCATAATTGAACTGCCAGTGTGGTGAACCTGATTTCATACATTTCGAGGGGGGCAATTAAGATAAAGAGTTTTAAGGCCTGTAATCCCAGCCAGCTTTGAACTGAGTGAGGCTGGGGGAGCGCAAAAGCGTCAGGAGATCAGAGCCATCCTGGAGCTTAACACACGTGAAACCCGATCAGCTACTAAAAATACAAGGAAATTAGGCTGGGGTGGTGGGTGAGCACCTGTAAGTCCAAGACTATCGAGCGACGGCTAGACGGCCGGGGAGGGAGGGAAATGGCGAAGGAGAAAACCAGGAGGCGGAGGGGTTGCAGGTGAGCCAAAGATCAGGCCGCAGCACTCAGCCACTGGGGGCAAGGGGGCGAGGAGC